TTGTCATAAATGCTTTTAAAAACATTTCAAATATGGTTCATCGAACTGTCTGCATTAATAAAGGTAATTACTGTGAATCAAATACTTTAATACAAATCTTGATACATTTCAAATTGACACAGTTAAGAAAGAATGCAGCAGCATCCTGTCTTTAAATATATCTCAGTGGAATTAACAAATTTTAGTGTACTGTGAAGTCGTACTTGCAAAATATATGTCCAAAGATGATGACAACCGAAACAAATTTATGGAAGAATTTTGATTCTTGGATTTTCATGAACTGCTACGCTTAAAGTGGCATTCAGTGCTACTGTGGAAGCAATGGTAACTTATCACACCTTACGTGTTACGCTATCAGAAATGGAAAGTGGGTCTTATTCAACAGGTCGGTATCAAAGACAATTTGGAATAACATTGTGGGAAAAGATCCTTCCTATCCATCTCTGGACAAAACCAGATATGATTGGCTAGCTACCTATGCAAATGCAAATGTGAGAATATTGTGATGGGTCTTTTTGAACTAATATTATGAGAAGCAACACCATATACAGTTGACCCCCTATAACACTGTTGATTATTTTGTTTTATATGAATTCCATGCTGTAAGAGTCACTTAATTTTACAAATATGTGTGCTGGGCTGTCAAAGGCTCATGTATTTGTAAAATCTAAGTGATTCTTACAACATGGAATTCATATAAAACAAAATAATCAACAGTGTTATAGGGGGGTCGACTGTTACAGCTTAGATACCCTGTAATTAACATTTTTAGTTTCATTACTATGGTAATCTTGGGACTACCTGAGGAAACACAATTATTGCTCTTAACTTGACACATTGATATTAAAGAAGAACCTTGAGCTTCTCTGGAATATTCAAGACTGTTACCAGAATAAAATTCAATTGAGGTCGTGGTTCCTTGAAAGAAAGGAAAATATTGTTCCTAATTCTAAAAGGGAAATAATAATGTCACATCAGGAAATCTCTAAACTCTAATACACCTTACCACTTCAAAACAGAACACGAAATTGGGCCAAAAGACAAGATTTGGATCCAATAAACCTCGAATCTTCTGTCTTTTGGTTATGTGTAATGACTGCTTCTTTCGACCCTTGATTATTTGCAGTTCAAGTCAATAGTCACCACTGTTTTGCCTTTCTTGACCTTGTGATCAAGAAAGTGATTTATAGAAAGATCTCCAAGTGATTGATTTCTTATTAAATTCAAACTACCAAGGTACTGATGCAAACATATGCTCAAAGCTTATAATGGAATTGCTACAGAGTAAAATTTCTGTGCATAGTAAGTTTTGAAAGAAAATCAGTTGGTATGAAAGCATGTAGTATAATGAGTATTGGTATGTTGGAAGTTATATATTAATTGGTAATTTGGAAAAAAGTAGCAAGGGCTATTAACAAAACTAAGGCAGTGTTTAATAAAACAAAAAAAGAAACTTTGATATCAAAACTGTGTGCGTGCTAACTGGTAACTACCATTACTACTGGGATATGAATTTAATTCTGAATGGGACTCCTAACCACACTGTCTATCAAGAAGGGATAATAATTTTGGAGGTTGCAATACTTCAGTAAAGTGAATATAAAAGACTTTTTGGAATATAGGAATATTGGAGTGTCCGAGAAAGTTTACTGCATTTGTCTATACTAATACCGTTGATTACGTCAAGGCTAAAGAAATTTGCTTGTACTCTTTCAAAGGTCAACTAATAAAGTTCCAATCAATCTATGCAATGTATTGGTTGGGTATTTTGTCAATATGGCTTGTTGAGCCGAGATGAAATAAGTAATGCTCAGTTATCTTATTGAGTACTTTGGAAGTTTTCTGAAAGCAGTTTTGCCATCAATTTTGGTAAATCAAATTTAATGCTTGTAACATTGAATTGATTGAAATGGTGTGATTGATGTTAAAACCTTATCAAACCCTCAGAGTTCCCAATTGGAACCTCAATTTTGAACTAAATCCACTGCCACAGTTTTATATTGGTGAAATCCAAGAGAGGTTTGTAACAGGTGGCATAGCACAGTGGTTATATGTTATCAATCTTACACTTTTAACTGTGCCAAAATCAACTATTCAACTACCAAGAATGCTCCATTTCATCAAAGAAATTGAGTATTTCCAAAGCTTTATAGAGGGTAGATTGTTTACAGTGCATACCGATCACTGGGCACTAACCTTTTTGAAGTCTCTTAAGAGTCAAAAAGTAGATTGGATCAATAGCAGATATTCCTAAAAATACTGTATTTACTCGCATATGAGGTTTTTATTCGTTTTTTGCTACTTCAAAAATCTAGGTCATCCTATACACAAGCAAAAAATTCTTTGCATTTTTTCAATAATTTTTGTGAACCATGTATTCACATTTTTTACTGGATGCTCACCCTCTGGTATTTAAAAACAAAACTATTTTATCTGGGTTGTTTGAATTGTTCTTGTTTATTGTCAGGAGTAAAGATGAATAGCAATAGGAAAAATCAAAGCTTTTGAATTGAAATTCCAAAATTACACAGGAGCCCAATATAAGGTTTAATCCATTCTCACGTGAAAACAGATGATTATTTGGAAATCAGAGTTCAAAGAAACTCATAAGTGTAATTGACGATGAGTGGATTCAATCCGACTGTTAAGAATTGGCAAAAAAAAAAGAAAAAAAGATTTCCAATTGTCCAGCTTTACATGAACAAATTAAGGAAAAATCTTGTAAAATCAACAACATAAAGTTTAAAATGCCAGTAATTTTTATGGGACAATGTGTACATTTATGTGCATTTGATATTTTATTTGTGATTAAACAAAATAAAAGTAGAATTGTATTAATAAATCTAATTTTCTTTATTTGGATCTTTAAAGTCACACCTCGTCCTATATACAAGTAAATACAGTATATATCTCCTTTCTAGATCTGCAGTTGAATTTGATAACTGTTGTTGATGAACTCTCCTTTTAAGTCTACACAGTAAGAATATTACTATTAGCAAACTAATGCATATAAATTTCAAAAATGGTAAAACAGTATCATGTCATGAAATACTATGGCAGTATATCATGACAACCCATGCAGTGGCAAATTTATAAACTGAAAACTAATTTTATTAAGAGAACACAAAGGAGACAATAAAGAACCATATAGAGTCTTTCCCTATCTGCAAAGAACCAAATTTAAACATTTAAACAAGAGTAATTCTGGCAAAGGCAATGAAAAGTACATCTGGCATTTTACATTACTTTGAGAAATTGCTTGCATTGAAAGATGTTAAGATTGTCACTGCTGTTACCTTGTCTGAATTTTTAAGGTACAAAAGATAAAAGAATCTGATACTGTATTGGCATGCCATACCATCCTGCAAGAAATGATTAATCGAGGGTAAAAAAAAAATTGGGGATTTGAAAGAGTTTTAGTTGTTACTTTGAGTTAGGAGGTTGGAAACAGTGCCTCAAGGCAATGGTAGGACACTAAACTCGCAGCTATAATGCCTACTTGAAGTATTCACCATTATACAAATGAAATGGTAATCTGGTTACTTTTGAAGCCAGTAAAGAATTTAATTTAAATGTACATTACAACCTTCTGAAAAAAAAAAATGAATAGGGGCATCATTATCATCAACAAATGAAAAAAAATTACAAATGGAGATGAGATAATTCTCAGAATATTAGAATTTGATCTTACGTCTTGAGTCACTTCTATAAATCACAAGCATCCCATCTAAAAAAGACCACATAAAGTTGTGTAAATGGTGCATTATATGGGAAAATTAAAAAAAAACACAGACTGGAAACAGATGATATAAGACTATTTGCATAACTGATGTCAAATTGTATTATTGCATGAACAATGATAATCCTAAACGAGGGAGTGTAAACAGTTCTTTCCATGGAAAGAAGTACTGTAAATCAGATTATGGGGAATTATGAAGACTCCTCAGCAAATTAGCCTGTAGGAGCACGCACAAACAAGTCAACAGGAGCTATTTGGGGACTAGTCTTTGCCAACTAGTCCCTGAATAGTTTGATTATTGTGAATCAAACACTTTGCATTATATCCAAATTTATATTAAACTTGTTTTCGAATTGGCATGTTACAATACTCTCAACAAATTATTGTCCATACAGAAATTGTGGACTATCAATTTTTATGGTAAACAGAAAAAGAGAAATGAATAAAATGAATTATTCAGAGGAATTTGACATTTTGTGAAAATAATGATTTGTTTTTAAATACTGTGATGATAACAGTAAAAGAATATTTGTTATTGAATGAATAGTGTTTGTTACAAATAACTAGCCATCTCATAATCAAATGAATCAATGAAAGAAAAATTAGTGACACATGCCATTACCTAGATCGGTGGCTTTTGGTATTTTCATGATCTTGTCCCGACTGTTCACGCTTTAGTGTCCAAGATCCTCTCTGCACAAATACAGGGAATGGATGATACAGTCTGTCCAACAATAGAACGTAGTGATTGTCTAGAAACTTTATCAAAATTTGCATTTAAATGTATTTAACAAGTGAAAAGGAGAGATCAAAATTGATGTATTTCACCAGGAAGGGAGAGAAGAAAGTTGGAGTGCTAAAAATATTGGGAGATTGTATTCGACAATCTCAAAATATCTCAATAATAAGGATTAACAGATGGGAAAATGAAACAGTGGGTGCAAGAGTTCAACAGCATTGAAAATGTTAATATATGTGTAATAATGCATCCTCAATTTCATTGCTGAAGAAGCGATTCACATTTCTCTGTCTACTGTTTTTGGCTTCTCTGTTTTCTTTAGAAAAATTAATACTTCTATCTGAGAGGATCTCTATACATAAATTTTAAAACTTTTCAACATGCTGAGCAAAAACCACCAATTTAAGTGAACTGTTACCAAAGTATATAAGAATATTCAGTAATGGTCTACCGAGACAGACTAAAGTTATATTGTGAACATTGATGATATTTATTGATCTACATGAGAGCATATGACAGGGTTTGAATCACGATTATGGAGATACTTTGTATGAAAATCAATTTATTCTTTTGACATCTGTAATCATAAATTGATTTTTTAAAGTCCCAGTTTCTCCAGAGTAAAAACATCAAAATGACTGATGACAAAAACTTGAGAGATATTTTCCTGGAGGTCAGAAATTTCTGGTACAAACCATGCTGAGTTACAAATAAAGATATCCCATATGCCATATAATGCAATACACATAATCATATCCAGAGATTTTGACTCTGTTTAAAATAGCAAAGAGCTACCTTTTCTGGATGTGAGCCACAAGTAAACTTTTTAGACTCCTGGTAGCCATGTGCATTTTTCTTACGAAGTTACAGGCTTATTAAACCTGTCAATGCTAACATATTTTGTAAATAATGGTATACTAGGAATTAAAATATATGCTAATGATATGCCAATTAGTAATATACAATGTGTGCATTAAGTATTTGATATTGATGAAAATATGATCTAAAAAATTGTCAAACAGAAATACCTGATATTATCACCATTTGAAAGAGGAATGAATATTTGCAAGTTTGTGCTGACCTTAAATGCATTTGATATGCATCCCATATGTGGCATGGCAGATGTCTGAGTAGTACTCCTGTTCTCACCAAACCCTCTAAAGTGTGTTTTGTGGTGATGTTTCTGAAGGTGGTGTCGATGCACCTTTGAAATTCGGACATTATCGTCAGAAGTGGAGGGATGTAAACATTGTCTTTGACGAAACCTCCACGGGAAGAAACTACACACACTGAGGTGTGGGGTGGCCACAAGCAGCCATTGTCTGTGGCTGTTGCATGACCAATTCATTGACTTGGCAGGTGTACATTTAGGCACTCCTGGATGTCTACGTGCCAATGTTGTGGGGCTCCTGTCTCACTTGTAAATAAACCCATTTCTCCTCATCCACAAATTATAGTGTTAACCAGTTTTTCAGCTTGTCCGGGTACATTCTTCCTGTGACACAGTCCTCTATAAAGAATTGGTCAAGTACGTGTCTTCTGGAAACGGCACAAAATGCATTCACTTTGGAGCTGTCACATTTCATCTCAATGACAGTGTGGGGATTCCGGAATTCCCTTATCCAGATATTATATCTATTGACCTTTCTGGATAAATGAAAAGTTGCATCATCACTAAAAATAAAGTTGCATTGCCAAATCCTTAGGACCTCAGGCCCACAAATCTCACAACCAGTTTAAAACATTATTTTACAACTTTGAATTGAATACAAGAATGCACTACTTACCTGAAGCATCAATAGATTCAAACAGCTGACAGTTTGGTCAACTGAAACAACATGAATAACTCCAGCATTTGGTATATTACATTGATAGTTAATATGATAGTATTAAATCATGTATCTGTTTTCTTTAATGGAAGACAAATTCTCACATGGACGGTATTCATGTTTCCAGACAAGTTTCTTCCGCAGCACGGAATCAACAGAGACTTAATATGGCAGAAATACAGATCTGAGTAGAACTTTGTTCAATTAACATTATTCTTTGCCTACTTAGTGTTGTACAGCAGGCAGAGAAAGTGCATGGAAACTGATCAAATGTAAATCAATTGTGCACATATCCTGTAGTGTTGTTTGCAATTATATATATGTTTAATAAATTGACATCTAAGTGTAACAGAATGTATTTAAATGTACAGTATTTTTGTGTGTGTCTCAGAATAAATGAAAGTAGTTTCTTACACGGAATTGCATGCAATGCAATTCCGTGTAATTCTGTGTAATGAATTGCATGCAATGCAATTCATTACACAGAAATGGTCTTTACAGATCATTTTTGTGTGATGAATTGCTTTGTGGAAATGAGGACGAGCATGCTGTGCTTTACAAAGTACTATAATTACACAAACATAAAATATTTGGAAACAATTGTCAAATTAATCAGAAACAGAATGAAAGCAACATGGATGACATCAAAGAAAATTGACAGAATTCCAGACAAAAATACAAAATGAACTTTAAACCGGTAAACTTTAACTTTATTATTATAAAAACAATGACTTTAATACATATGATATTTATGAGGTTATTTTATAGAAAATTACAGGAGAAATTGCACTCTAATTGAGTTGATTTTTAGTAAAATTCCACTTTAAAAAAGAATAAATACCGTCTTGTCTTTGGCATTTGAATGACCTCAAAATAAGAATGTGAACTGATGAGTGTAAATACTATGTACACCGTATGATGGTATCAATGAGTTAGTTGACATTTGGCATTAACGATTCATTTACAAAAAACAAATGAACTTTAAAAAGAAATAATCATAAAATAATTTAACTGGTCCAAAGCATGGTTTTGTTTTGTTTTGTTTCGGCTCGTATAATGAATATTTTGGATAGGATATGATCTTGTCGGAATTAAAATAAATGAAAACTTGACTAATTACAAAGTTTAGTATAATGATCTGGTATAGTTTTGTGCGATGTTTCGACAGCATCCTTTCCTTTCGTAAATTCAGTCATCTATAACCACCACATTTTCCAGTTCTTTCCTGGATGTTTCACCCTGTTTAAATGCTTTTTGATATTCATTTTCGTCAATTCCTAAGATCAGCAACAGCAACAGTTGTTTCTTCTTTAGATTTGCAAAGGGTTTTTTCTTAAAGACTGCTTCCGACTGGTTTCCGTTCACCACCAGGTACTGACCGAATCCCAGATCTGCCACATTTCGAAGAATGTAGCAGCAGAAGTCGAGAGATGGTTTGGATCTCTTTGCTACCTTCTTGGAATGGAGGAGATTTATTTGGTTCACGTAATCTGAAGAAATTGTTTCTTCCTTGTGTGTTAAAATTGTATTAATGTGCTGCTTGTATTTATTAAAAAATCTTTCCTGAATTTTTGTCAGATATAAACTTAATTCATTTTTGTCTTGTGAAGTTGTCATGTTGGCGGAATTGTTTGCACTCGTCTCTGGAACTACTGAAATGGACAAGGATGACGGCAACGTGATGTCCAGAGGAAGACTCACATCTCCAGAAGGGTTGTCTTTCGTTGCACCGACCATATCAGAAACTGGCAGACCAGCTGAAAAAACATTTACGATGGTTGGTAGTTTTTGCTGATTGTTTGTGGAATTGTTTGAGATCAAGGAGTTGGATGCGGATGTGGATGCAGAAGCAGACACACTTGCATTTGAATGATTCGGGGAGGCAGGTATGATGTGATTATTCAAATTTGCACCAGAACTGTTTGTAGTAGTTTTTTGAATCACGTTTCCAGCATTCAGACTTGCATTCTGAGGAGTGTGTACATGATTCGGAGTGGAAGACTTAACAGGAGTTCTGTTTTGAATAGGCTGGTGATTGGGAACGTTACTCACCTGCCTGATGGCAGAAAATGTTTTCACAAAATTACTTTCGCGTTGAAAAATCGTTGACTGTACAAGAACATCCTTCTGCTGAAGGAGAAAATTTACAATTATTCTGGCCTGGTGTAACGTGCTGGCATCAATTTCGACATTCCATATCAAATGATCTAAGGTCAAATTCCAACTAATGGTATTTAATGCATTTTCAATTACGTGAAGTATCAAGCTCACTCTCGCCAGTAGCTTAGTAGCATTTTGATATATCGGGTATTTGCTTTTGTCAATGAATTTGGTCATGAGTTCGACGAACTCATCATGATACTGCGAAAACACGGTCTGAGCTTCTTCAGTTAACTTATAAGTTAATTTAGTTTCTTTGTGGATTTCATAAATTGTCTTAAATAACTTTTTTAAGCTGTGAGATGATTGAATGGGCAAGGAATTATTATTTTGTTTGATCTTGCTTCTGCCGATGAGACTAAAACAATTTTCAACAAATTTGGAAAAGCTGTCTCTCTTGCACAGAATCTGATATAAACCAAACGGTTCGGATATGCAGGATATATTCATGCATGGTTTTTGTAAAACACGTCTCAACTTTCCATAATTCATGATGAGAGAAGAACCCTGATAGAGTTTTTCCAAGACATCCAAAATTCCTTTGGACGTGGATAAGATCTCTTTAAAGAGATCCAGTTTATAATACAGTGCCAGGGCGGATCCTCTGGAATGCAGGACGTCAATCAGTCCCTCGGTGTCAAAGAATTCCACCACAAACTGATTGTGACCCTCAGAATTCTCGCCAGATCTAGTGCACTCATTCTGGACTTCGATCAGCTGCTGGCAGAGTCTGTCTGTTATGCCCAACGAGTCCTGTACCAATCCTGTGACCAGAATGGACCAAAATATTGGAGATTCTTGCCAGTCTGGAGTCAGTTCCAGCACGGAACCCTCTCCCATGCATCCTGCGCAACAACTCAAAAGCAGAAAAAAGATGCATTCTTCGGTACTTTCCAAGTTCTGAGCCTGCTGTTTTAAAAAGGTTCTGAAATTTGCCGTGCCAATTTTGTTGAGAGAAAATGACATGGATGACGCTTTCTTGTAAAGTCTCTGAAAGTCTTCTAATTTCATGATGATCTCTTCTTCATTCGGCTGAAAGAAAGTAACAAACTTTTAAGGATTTTAAGTTCCACATTATGAATTTTAAGCACGAATATTTTATTTTTAGTACTGCAGAATTGGTCCCGAATTCAGTGTTGTTCCGCAACACCAGATAGTTTGAGACACCTTATTAATGGGAGGTTGTGCCATAATGTATGAAAAATTTGAGAATTTAAAAGAGCAGGAGAAAGAAGCAATATTTGGGAGTTGCAATTCCCCTATCATAATAATGTTTGCTAACACAAAATTGGTAAGAGGATCCAAATATGCTTGGAGAAGAGATTCCTGTCTGGTTGGAATAAAGTGTAGTAAATCCCAAACCATTCCAAATCACTAATATTGGATAGTCTAGGACAAGGGTGGCAATTACTGGTACAAAACATGATATGCCAACTTTTTTCTGGTAACCCAGGGTTCACCTTAAAAAATAAATCCTTACATCAACATCTTTACAGAATTTTGTATTTTAACTTAACAAAAAAAATTTTATTGACTACAGCAATACTAAATAAAAATACAACAGAGAAAAACAGTACTAATTGTTTTAGTAATAAGTGATAAGAAAATCAAACAAACACCCTATTTCCGAGACATTACTTCTGCAATATACAGACAAGTGGAGCTGCCAATTTAGCATAAAATCTGTTAAATGTAGCTTTTCTGTAGTCTCAACTAACAGCTAGATCAAATAATAATAAATGACTGAAATTCTGCATCATGAATTTGGCAATTTTGACACTGGCACTTAAAAAGGTTGCCCATCCTGTTTAGGATGACTTAAAATTTTTGCCACTGTCGATCCACATGTGGAACATTGTATGAACGACAAAAACAAAATATCTTGATCTTTTGATAATTACAACCCTATGATCTTTGATAATTACAACCCTAAACTTATTAATAGTACATCCAAAAATTCTGCAATTTAGAAACTGACTTCTTATAGGCTTTAAAGTGCAATCTCAACGTCTACCGATTTATTACATTCAGTAAAGAGATGTCAGATATGGTTTTTACCAAAGATGTTTGCAGAAAAAATTGGCTACACAGGTCATTATTAAAGTAAGAATCATTTGCATATACTAACAATGCAAATCGATGCTTTGGATTGCTATGCTGTGTGGAGAAGAGTGTGTTTTAACGTATCCGTGACTTGGTCAGCTCAGCTCTTCTGTGCATCAGACATAATTTCTTACTAGCATTTCACTGATGATGACAATCAACATCGTCAATGAGTGCAAAGTGTAATTGGCAATTAGTGATGTGCTGGATATCCAAATCTGTATCCGTATCTGCGGATATCCAAGGGAAAAAAGATCCATATTCGTATCCATTACTTTTTAGTGGATCTTTAACAGATCTTTTATCTTAATAAATTTCATTACTTATATGAAATTTTAAAGATAGGTAGCAATAAAATACTAATAACTTCAATTCAAATCACTTTTTATTTCTTAAAATCATATATTTGGCACATTCACATTGCAAAAATTTTATCATGCAAAATTCATTTACTATTGTAAAATATTTCCATATTACACTACTAAACTTTTTTGTCGACATTGTTTTTATTTTAATTTAACTCAACACTCTCCAAAAATACAAACGTAATCTACGCTATTCTGTGTCACACTAAACTATGAGCAAAACCACGCGCAGTGCAAGTCAAAACACATCATGTTACTAACGCAAAGCGTCAACTATTGGTCCAAGGTCACACGCATTGGCTGAGTACGAAAGTTGAGATCCGTATCCATATTGCGGATCTAGACACTAATGATCCGTATCTGTATCCGTATCCACAGATATACATTTTTAACAATCCGGCACATCACTATTGGCAATTTGTGTTTTAGATGCAAAAAAAACATTCATCCAGCTAAAATTCATTGACAGCTAATTGATGTATATGAAGAAGGTGGAACAAACAAAGCAAATGTGAAAAATGGTGTTGGTTATTCAATAAAAATAGAATGTGTGTGCATGCAAAAGTAAGAGCTGGATATCCATGTCATCGAATTGAAAACTTTTGTCAATGCACACATTTGACAGAACAGGAGATTAATAATTGAGCCGTTGATTTTGAAAGTGGGACAAGTCCATTTTGTGAAAAAAATAGTTGAAGCTAATTTTTATTACAAATTAACATAAAGTTTATGTTTTTATTAAAAGATATTTATTGTGAATTGATTGTCAGTATAAATTTGTTACAATAAATATCATTGACAGTATAGATTACTAGTGTCTTGATTTTGAAAGTGTGGCAAGTCCACTCTAAAGAAAAATATAAAGATATGATGGATTTATTACCCTATGTACTACCCATTCATCATGAATACTTAAAAATCTGCACCATCTAAACTAAGAAATATAATTATATGCATGCAACTTTATTACTGAATATTTTTTTCTTATTTTATCCACTTTTTCCTATAAAATTAAATTTATTTTTTGTTTTATTGTAGCTTTTTGAAAGAGGTATGAAATGTTGAAATAAAATAAATAAGTAAATAAATAAAATATTCAATTTTCTTCTTATTATTATTACATTTCATTCAAAGAAAATCAATATTTTCTTTATTGAAAATGTTGATTTTCTTTGAATGAAATGTAATAATAATAAGAAGAAAATTGATTATTTTATTTATTTACTTATTTATTTTATTTCAACATTTCATACCTCTTTCAAAAAGCTACAATAAAACAAAAAATAAATTTAATTTTATACATCAATATTTCAATCAATATTTTCTTTATTGAAAATGTTGATTTTCTTTGAAAATCATTGCTTTTGAAAGTGAGGCAAGTCCATTGGTGCATACCAAAACCATGATTTTTTTCACCTAACACAAATAACCATTATTGCATATTAAATTTACATGAAATAAGACCAAAAAAAAAAAATATATATATATATAAAATAAGTCTATTACTGTTTACAAATATTTTTAAACCCATTCAAATGCAAACCATTAATTACATATCCAGCAATAACATAACATGGGCTTGCCCCACTTTCAAAATCAACGACTCAATTGATGAGCTTTGTGAAGATTTCACGAATGTTTCTTGTTCTGTCATTTAAGAAACTGTTAGTGAATGTCTTCAATACAGGTTCCAAGAATGTTGACATCAGAACACAAACAAAAGAGAATGACTGCTTCTTGAGCATTTCTCAATTGCTACCATATATAAGGAGACAAATTCTTAGATTGTACTGTATAGTGATGGGAAATGTGAGACTGGTGTCTCGCTACACCCTGTGACTAAACGACATTCCCTCAAATTGCACAACTTATCTTTTCCGGCCAAACCCAAAAAGTTCAAACAGGCACCTTCGAACACAAAACTCGTGGCTATGGTTTTTTTGGGACCAGAGAGGCATTCTTCTGATCGATTATCTGCCTCGGGAGAAACATACTGCAAAACCTTAAGAGTTACAGTGCACTATACAGAACTGTCCTACCTGCTTACTAAGGGAAATGTCTGCTCTACAACAAGTCATCCTCATGTTGCTCAAAACAGCTGCAAAAGTTTTGATGGGCAGTATTAAGCATCTACCATACGGTACAACAACAACCAGTTTTGAGGAAAAGGCAAGAGTTCAGCAAAGAGACAGTCAAGCTTGTCTCACGACATCAGCGGGGATTACATAAACAGTTTAAGACATTTCTGTCAAAAAGATTTTGAGTTACAATAAATCATCACCATTTTACGAAAAAACAATTCATTCATACTTTTAAAACAACCCTTGTATTTCGTAACAAAACTACAACACAAAGAAAGAACAAACTGGAAATCTCAAAGACACAGTCGCCAGACTCTGATGACGTGCAGTGGGAGACATTTTAAGAGTGAAGGACCACAGAAGACCTCCAAAACCACAATTGGGGAGCCACCGATGGAGAGTCGGGACTTCCTGCAAGAAAGCTGGCAATGGAACAACCTCCACCTGTCTACCCGACCGCAAGGGCAAGACTGCCAAGTATGCCCAAACGAAACATTATTTTAGACACATTTCAAGACGGGCACGGGATAAGCACGAAGAAAACCATTTATCCGGAAGCCAGAGGGGTAAATTTAATCTTTCCAAATAACTAGATTTATTAGTGTCATCTTCATGGTTTTTACACGGGCTTTGCAGAAGTCTTCGTAAAAAGTTCACCATTTTGCCAGGAGGGGAAATTCAATAGAAATTGATATCCGTCGATGAATTTCCCGCTAATCTGCTCCCGTTACGTAAAATAAGCCAAGTTAACAGTTAACACCGAATGTCAGAAAAATGTAAACACAAGTGGTTCTCGTTAGGCTTCCCACCGTTATTCGACGTTTCGACCGAGAAAAATGTGAACTTTGACCTCCGATCTTTCGCCAGAATGCATTCGATTTATCGTTAGAGGGTCGATAAATTCGCCTTCGAAAGCGGCAGAGTAAAACTCTTATTTAAAAAAAAAAAGTCTGGCTGACATTCCTATCGATTTTTACGCCGACCCGTCGACACCTTTCTAATTGATAAAGGTACGTCTGCATGTAAACCGGTAAAGAACCCGCGACTTTGCGCGTGAACAGAACACACCGACCAGTCGCAGGTTCTTACCCACTGCACGAACCCAAACGGAATCGTAGGTTTTCGCCGTTCCCGACCCCGTTTCTGGATTTTCCAGCGTGACCGAAGGGCCCCGGATCAGAGGCCGCAGTCGAGGGGCCCGGGGGCCCCTCCGATCGCTTACCTAGAGAGTCGGCGGGGGACGTCTCGTCCATTATTTACTTATTCGAATTGGAGTTTTGTCAACTTCGTAAATACCGTCGCCATTTCTAACGCTTTACCGCCGGATGGCGCGATAAGGACGATCCGTTTTATAGCCCAATTTCCGATTTTTGTAATTCGATTAAAATAATTACGCCCAAATTTAAAAAAATTTAGCCAAAAAATATTTTTTATTTGGCCCGAAATTAAAATATAAAATATTAAAAATTAACAAAAATAAATAAAATTTATTTGGAATTTATATTAGGAAAGATAATTTCTTAATACGTTTTCGGCAAAATGAGGAATTTTATTTTTCCTATTTCTGCTGGAGAGTTCGGCAGAGTCGGTAGATTAACTGGTCTTTCGACTTCCTATCTTCGCTCGTTGCTAAAATCAACTAGAGACAAATGTTACCACCAGGGGCACTGCAATCACAGCAAGAGCGCTAGATCGAATCGCTGTGAGGTCGAATGTTTTCTTTTTATTGAAAGATATATAACCTTCGAGTTCGATTTCATAATTTTTTATATGCATTTTATTATAAGAATGAAAAAGCTTTTATTTAAATCCAAAACCAGGTTTATGGATAAATAAATGACACTTAATAAAACATTAAACACCTTCCATCGCTGAGAAATGTTTATTTAATAAAA